TATCTTTCTTCTATTTTACATTTAATTTTTTATTATGCTACAAAAACAAAAAACATAACGTAATACGATAATATTATGATCAATAATTTTTATACTGGCTATACAAAATTATATTATTCTTAAATAAAATTTCGACAACGAATTCTATGTACCCAAGAATGATAACTGCAAGGTGGGTTTAAAATTATTATAATTTTTTTCAAATTATGTTCAAATATAAATGTATATAATACAACTATTTTTTTTTTATATTGAATTATTTATTACTTGAGATAATAATTATCCACCTATGAAGGTGTATAAAAACAAAAAAAGAATTAAGAAAGTATATACAATAGAAGTCATTCACAAAGCTTCTTTATAGAGAATCGCGCGTAATTCGTTTACTATTGGTTCTGTGTGTTGAGAAAACGTTCTATACTAAATCTTAGTTAGTTTGCCTTTGAAGTCGACGTCTACCATTTAAAATTTCATACCAGTACTGCAAAAGGTATTTCGCTGAAATCTTCAGTCCTTTTTGTACCTACGAGTATTAGTCAAAATCGACAGGTATGCGTACGATATAGATCTCTGATAGCACGACGTGCAAGACATGGTCTAGAAGTAGTGCATAAAAAGAGAAACGGTGTTAATGTATGACTTAGAATAAATTATTCTAAAACTTTGTATATGATGCTTACAAATAATTAAACGAAACCTTAAGATTTAAGATGAAGGTAATGTACACTTTGAAACCTTTCATAAATCGAATTAATGCTTAACGCTAAGAAAGATACGTAGATAGTCATCCAAGTACGATTACAGATGGCTAATAAGGCCTACTTTGCATGCTTCCATTTTATTGAGTCGTAAGTTATGTAGTGTTTATAAAATTCATTTTTACCTATGGATGTTAAAACTGTGCACTAAAAAGTGGGGTTATAAATAAGCTGACAAACAATAAATAAAGTTGTGAGAGATGAGGGTGTTACATACCTAGAATTAATTAACATTTAACGACAATTCTAACGATAATCAAACAAAAAGTTCAAATATTAACATATATCGAGAGTTTGCATAATAAGTAGTCGTCCTGTCTGCAGCATTTATCTATGATTATTAAAAATGCGGTTTTGTTTATAAACATAAAATTTATAAATTTAAGAGTTAACTTTCTCATTTTATATTGCTCAAGTCCTTTAACTTTTAATAAACACAATTCAAGGACTGCAAAATAGGACTAAGGACCTATATGAACTCCGCTGACCGAATGCAAGTTTTTCATTGAATAACTTTTTTCTTTCTTTTCTCTTTTTTTGAATTTGAGCCAACGGAATTGTAGTCAAAATTTCGATTGTGTAAAAAGGAAGATACATAAATTTAACTTAAATAAACTTTGAGGAAGAATAATATTTACAATAATTTGTACTAAGCTGCTGTGAATAGCATCTCTGCAGAAGAGATGTTTTGCTTGTAAAATTGAATAAAAATAAATAAATAAAATACGAGAAGAGAAACTAAATCTGTGCTGCGATGTCTGCCGCAGTAAATATTCTAAGTATTCTAAAATTGCAAAGCAATTTCTCTTAAATTGTTAATCTTATGATATTCAAGCAGATAAAATGCAAATTTTCCAAAAAAAAAAATAAAATAAATCTAATAAAACTAAAGCAAAAAGTACTGGTCAAGACGACGCACAGCGATCTTAAGAATCACAAGCCAAACGTTGTCTATCTTGTATACTTATGTGCTTGTATATATCGTATCGTAGAAATATTTAAAGAAAAAAAATAAAAATATCTATATAATAAATTTCTGTACTACTTTACGAGTATGTAAATATTTTATCTATACTCTGTACTTCAGCAGAAAAGCATTGTAGTAAAAGTTAATTTTGTGTTGACATATGTCGGACATACGTTAGATGTTGGCACTTCTCGAAGCTGTTTACACTGCAAGTAAATTGCTTACAGTGTATTTGAAAAATTTCAATAAACGACTTTCTGTATAAATTTATTATTCATTTTATGGTTAAAAATTTCAAATTTGTTATACCACCAATAATTCAACATAAATTTTTGAAATAAAAACACAAAAGTAAGAGTAAAGCTGCACTGTGTACACAGATAAGGGTACACTATCATAAGTAATTACAGCAATTCACACTTAATCTACCACTAATTTCATAGATTATTTGCCTGCACTGTGCAGTTTTTAGGTTCCATGCATTCTGAAGTCGATAAGACTATCATCTCTATGTTCTTACAATTATAATTTTCTTGTAATTTCCCATAATTTTTATTGTAAAGCAGAATTTTTAGTAGAGATGCTGATATCTTGGGCTTAGATTCAGTAGTGATTTTGCTTTATAATAATAACATATCTGAATAACATTTTCTAGCACATTATTGCACACATACTTCTTGCGTCTTGACAAAAACAAACCCAAATTTGCTTTAAGTTTAATATACCAAAGAATGCTTTCATTCCTAATAGCATTGATTAAACATAGCACCACTTTCTCAAGCACCTGTATTAATTAATTTTTTAAAACAACTTACAAAAAAAAAACCAGTTTGATCACTATAAGTACAAGTTAAAGACTGACTGGGCACGCAGGAATTAAAGAAAACGAACTAGCAAATCAAGCTGCCCCTGCCGCCATTCGCTCTCCCTTGTTCTTATTCAAGACATCCGAAAAAAAAGACGTTTTAAAATTTATAAACAAACATATGGAAGACGAATGGTCAGTGTATAACCATCGCTACAAATCGATCAATACCAGTGGTTTAAAAGCTATATATTCACTATTATGCACTCGTCAAGAATGTAAGATTTTTATCCGATTGCGAATGGGACATTCAAATCTTTTTTATGAACATCTTTTGAGTGGCGATCAGCCATCAAACTGTCCAAGCTGTCCATTCTGTAATAGCACACCATCCATAGATCATATACTTAACGATTGTCCTTCTTTTAAGTCTACTCGTAGTAATATCTTTCTTAATATCTTACCTACCAGCCTATTAAAAACAATTACTGTTGAAAATATACTTTTAATGTATAAATATATTAAAGCCTGTAACTTAGTAAATAAAATTTAATTTATAATATCCGAGCTGAAGGCCCTGGCAGCTAGCGCTCGTTTTTCTTATCTAAGTTATAAGATTTTATATTTTGTAATTAATTATAATAAATAAATAAATTATTAAAACAACTCAATGCTTCACTACCTTAATATCTATGACATAGCCCTAGAAATAAAGCAAAATTTTTAACACTTGTAAATATTTTCAAACCTTTATTGGTTAAACACTTTATATATTCGAATACTAGTGATTGATTGGTTTAAGTGGTGACTCTGTCCTTGTATTCAATAGACGATTTCGGTTTACTTCAATCTTTACAGTTCAAGAAATTGTACAGTATTAAAATTTTCAAGTTAGTAAGAGGATGTAATAGCTGAATGCAATGCCCGAAATGCACTCTTGCTATTCGACAGAAAAGCAATGTTGTTTTTGCGTGTAGTCTTAGATTAATATCCTATATAGCTCCCTGGTAAATCGTTTAACGAACTTCGGCAGATTGCGCAAAATAGGGATAGTTAGAGATCATTTGTTGTATCCTTCAGCTCCTAACGGAGTAAGGAATAAATAATATAATAATAAAATAATAGCGCCTTAATAATAATAATAGTATCACATTAACACTAATTATGGACTTTTGTATAAACCACCCATATATTAAAGTTAGCTGCTTTTGCAATTTACTATTAAGTGTTTGGTGATGTACTCAATGAATTAACTGACCACCATACTCACGTGACAAATCTCTATATAAATTCTTATTATTTCTTAACTGTGAATTACTATTTCAATGAAAGCGGTTTGAATCAATTTCTAACCGGAAAACAAAATTCATGGAAAGAGTTTAATATCTTGTCGGACGAAATCTATTGGGAGTTGATTCAGAGGAAAGTGGACTGAGACAATTCTCTCAGTAAACTGTTAACTTTATTTCGTGACTGGAATTACTGTAAGATCTTTATAAGAAGACTAAGTTTTTAACTTGTAAATTTCTTATTTCGTCATTAATAACCATTACTTAGTTACTTACATGTAGTACCGAATATCTTAATGGCATTGGTCCCATATTTTTTCTAGCGATGATGCGAAAGTCCTATTCCACGTTTTCTTTCCGAAAGTCTTTCATTCTTTCGTGCAACATGAGCAATCCCGTATAGGTGTTGAATTTTTAAGCACTTAATTTTTAACATTGTTTCAATAATAAATTTACAAAACTTTATTTTCAAATACTTCTAGAGAGGTACAATAGCATAATAAGAACCTATTAGAAAGTAATTTTTTTTTAACGAGAACGGATTTTATATTTCAATTGTTTACTTGATTGAAGTAATATATATTGGCTAGTGCGATTCTTCGTTGCATCTCTAGACCGCAGTCATGTTTGGTGTTTGTGCTAGTTTCTATATAAGTAATGATGTGACGTGAGTCACAAGATGTTTAGGGAATTTTTTGCTGACATAAATTATATTGTTTGGCTCTTATTTACACAAGTCCTATTCAGAAGACAGAACGGCTGTTCAGATCTGCAACATAAATATCGTTGACATACGCTGACTATACTGTTTAAAGGTTATATCTCAATTAACTTTCGATAAGTGTTGTCTATTTGTTTTAATTTATTCAGGCTCTATGTCCTTTCCTACTATAACTGTTGTTTATGTATAGAAAGGACACTTAGGCGTTGTCGAGCAACATTACAAATAAAAAATCGGTGCGTTTTTTTAGCTGAAGTAAACAAAAGATAGCTAAGAAAAGAAAGTGAAGCAATGTACCATAATTAAATACTTTTCATGAAATTGTTGGTAGCCGTACTGTTTTTATTAAAGTAAATAATATGTTTATTAAAAATATTTTTCAATTTTATTTTATTTTATACGTATACGCTTAAATATGTGAGCAATCTCTTTAATATGACATGCACATACATCAAGATACATGAATTTTCGATGTGCTTTCTTGAAGGTCTCCCTGGATGCTGAACGACCCATTGTATCCGCCTGTCGCAAAACAAGCTTCTACCATCACTCACATCAACATCAGCAGCGGCATGGCACTCAGCGAGTAGCACACATGTCCTATCCATCCAGTAATGTCCTGCGAGCACGTCGTGGAGTTGTGAGAATGTTGATAATTTTTGTGTTGACATTTGCGTTATGCAACTTGCCGTATCACGCCAGAAAAATGTGGCAATATTGGTAAGTATTAAATCCTTTGAAAAAAAAAACAATAATATTTATATGATATATGTATATATTTCAAAAATACTATCTATGTGCAGCATCGATAGTTATGACCGTCAGTTTGTAAGTTATTACGTTTAGTTATGAGGATATTGCTTTTACTGTTGTGCTGAAATAAAAATAAATTTGAAAAATAAAAACCAGTAACCATCCACATAAGGTTCATTTTTATTCAGCAAGGATAAGCAACATGCTTGAGACGACTAGAAACAGTGACTATGAACTCAATCACTAAAACTGATAAGATAACTACTAGCTTCTGTTATATACATACATATAATTTTTGGTAAAGGTTTTTACATCTAAACAAGTTTTCGATATACAATTTGAGAAATATACAATAATTCACTGAATGTCATTGTTTTTCCCGATTTCAAATACTTACTCCTATTGACTTGACAGAGAATTTATCATGTTTCAATATCATCTATCACATCTATGGTCTCAATATATACTACAAATATAAGACTCTTATTAACGAAGACTTTTAAATTAATTTATATGAAATCTATTATTTTTGGTACAGTGATTTGAATTAATATTCATATTGAGCTTAAAGTAATAATATTTATTTAATATTCATAAAATCTAGTTATTAGATTAATCAAAATTTCCGGCAGACGGCTAAAATGCCATAGCTGTATGCTTTATATATATAATATAATTGTTATTAATTTCTATGTAATACAACATATTTAAAATGAAGTAAAAATGAAGCTAATAATACTACTACTATAAGATTCTTATCGTACTTAAAATAACATTTATAATCATAACTATAAATTCACGATAAGTATAAACAAGGACTTCAGAGATTAATAAATATATATATACATATACATTAATTATTGAAAATATACTTATTTCAAATTAAAATTACTGCCAAAGGAAAGCATGAGGAGGGTACACCTATAAAATAAAGCCAATAGACCTTTATGTCTTGTAAAATGTACTGACAACTAATAAATAACGTAGACAACTGGAATCCGCAGTAGTGGAAGATATTCTAAGCGACCAAACTTTATACTGGAGTTTAGTGTCAATGAAGTGAAAAAAGTTTAGGGAAATATTTTTAAAATTCATTTTTCATACAAATTGCAATTTTTATGGAAAGACATCAGGCCACGATAATATGTAAGATTTGTTAAGCTGCACAGAGTAATACTTTTATTTAACTTAAGAAAATGTTAAGATTATTAATAAGTCTTCTAGCGCTAACAGATACAACACAGATATCTAGATAGAAACAAAGAAATATGTGATTTTTAATACTACGTAGATAAGCTAAAAGATTAAATCTAATTACTTAATCTAATGATTTAATCATTTAATGACTCTTCCTATAGCTTTACACATACTTTGTCAGTGTCTAGTAAATGCATCTGGTAGTTTAAATATCTAAAGCTTAAGCATCTTAGGCTTTCCAAGACGTTTCATAATTTTAAAATGCTTCAGATTTAAGATGAGTAGCTTATGCTGGTTGGTTCATTTGTTATAACCGATTCTAACATTAGTGTAAAAGTTAAATGATAAGTGGACGACTTCCTAGGGATAAAAGGATTTTTTGTTGTTGTGAAGAATGTACTTTATCGAGAATCTAAGGCAGCTAAAGGAGCTGTGCTTAAATACAAGTTGCAAATGGTATAAAAACTTTGATTTTTTTACTCTAGCACTATATACTAATACAGCTAAGTGCATCCTTACATTCGTGACTATAATCTAACCTTACCAAATATATCAATTAAGTGATTAATAAGCGGGCAATCTTTAATAAGAATTTAATCTTAATAATGATTAATATTATAAAATTCAATTGCAAAGACTTTTTTATGTAATATTTTCCAACACATATACTTCTTCTAAATATTCATCCTTTGACTTATGTTTCTTTAAAAATCTATGACTACACATTTAAACCCTTATTATATATCTACGTTGACATCAAGTGGAAATTTTAATTTATTCCCCTTTGAGTACAAGAAAGTGTTAATTATGTATTAATAATTACAAATAAGAGTATTTGAATTAATGAATGCCATAAACAAAATTGAGTTTCTTAAATCACTTTGAAGCTCTTTGAAATTCATATTTTTTTTCGGAAATAATACCTATCCGAAATATTTTCCGGCTTCGTTTTCTTTACCATTCACAGCACTTCTGGCATATTTAACGCTACTTTTATGCCATCATCACAGGTGCTCTGTGAACACTTTAACAAATTGCAATTATTTATTTCGTTATGCTTAAGTCCCACTCAAATTGACAGTAAACCTCTAAATTGTCATTTGCAATCATTTCCTTGACATTCATCTTTTTATGTTGTCCTTCTCTGCAGCCAAAAGTCTACGACTTCTTTCATAAATTAATAACTAAATCAATACCGGAAGCGAAACATTGATAGAGAGAAATGACACTTGCAATCATAGGCCTTAATACGTCAACTGTCGATAAATGTATCAACTTCCGTTAATGTACACCTACAAAAATTAATGTCCCCAGCAAATGACTAGAATGAAAATAAATAAATAAATAGATGAAAATAATACTCCTTCTACGGACACCAGTGGGGCCGCAAGATGAAAGCACTTGTAAGGACAAAAGTAGATATATACAAAACGGATGTCGAGGATGTGGCTGCTGTTGCGTTGCTACGTATCTGCACGACTCTGAGTGTACGACTCTGAATTAAGACACTTTTAGTGTCAACAGAAATGTTATTTTTGTGCATTATTCATGGCATCAAATGAATAACAAAAATCAGAATTAAAAGCTCTTCACATTAAATGAATAAATAACTGATTTATGAAAATAATGAGTGCTTTTGTCAATGGTCCTTGCGCACGTATAAATATTTCTGTGTTTATTTCATTGAAGAAAAATACTTAATACTTACATTCTAAGAAAAAGATTCCTTGTCTACTTTGTGTACTTTACAATTTGAATTATAATTTGAATAAAAATTTGGAAGTGGATGAGGATCTCTTCATAACTAATTTGATTGATTGCTTATTATATACTTAATAATGTATGTAATGACTTTAAATATCCTTAATTCGAAGTATGAAATTATTTTTTCATGTTTTTACATCGCAGTTGCACTGAATGATTAATCAAGTAAATCGGATTATCGTGCCTTAACTTCATTGCTCGCAAATATGTCCTTAATGTCCTCCGCAATCAATTATAATAAGCTGCGTATTTGTCATGACCTCCTGGGTTTAGATTTGAACTAGGAAAGCGTAAGCGTATTAACACCAAATTTTTATGGTCATTTAATTAAATAACATTTCAGCTTTTACGAGTACGCTTGTTCCTGTTCTGTATTTTACTGCCGGCACTTCTCCAATACATACCAACAAGTAATTAAAAATAATTACATTGGCCTGAGTCCATAAAGTGTTCGCAGTCGTTCTCAAGTTTATTGTTATAATGTGTGTGAGATATAATTTTTATTGCGAGTACTGCAATAAGCAATAAAAATAAAAATTCTGCTCTTATTTGCTTCAAGCTTAATTAGACATTTTAAAGCAATCATTAAATTGTCAACATAAATACTGGAATCACGTTGCCTGTACATAGCCAGACAAACAGACAGACAAGTATTCCTCTGGAAAACGTTTTTGTCATAAGGTAATAATAAATTATTTATAAACACATGAAGCAAATGAAGTATTAATAAAATTTTATCCTTGGAAAAGACAAGGCATATTCACAGTACAAAGAACTTTATGTGCCAGAACACATAAACCGGCAGAGAAAGAGATTGGAACTATGTTCAATTTAAATTTAATACCATATTTAATCTAGTCTAAGTGTACACCAGGATTCCAACACACCAGAGCAAAAGGTTGGAGAAGAAAAAGAACAAGTATAATAAAATTAGTCATTATAATTAAGAATAAATGTCATATTGCATTGTCAAGGCTTTTTATTTGTACATTTTCATAAATGCTGAATCATTTAAAACAATATTTTATTTGATGCAATCGAACCAAACTACTTAACCAAACTACTTCCTATAACAAGATAACTATAGCATCCACTAGACCATTGACTTCTTTTAATTTGAAGTGCAATTAAAGCATTTTTAAATGGACATCGAAAGGTTGAATGAATTGTACGTTTGAAAAATCCACCACTTGTAGTATGAAATAATATATATATATAATGTATATTGAATATATGTCCATTTATGAGAGCGTCCATGCAACAAATTTTTAACAGAAAACCTTTTTAGGTAAAATTATCCTTGCAGTTCATTATGATATTTCGAAGACTAACATTGATGAGTGATTAACATTGATTATCATTGATTAAATTAGTTTGTAAATTCGCGGAGTTAATTAATTTCACTATAACGGACCTTATTTTCACCCACGGGCTGCATCATCCATATTTTATATATGCTTGTTATTGGTTAGGGCACTAGTTATGAATATAGTAGGCAACTGAGAATGGCAATGTATTATAGTACATAAGAGTGGTATGATATCAGTCATACTACATAATTGATATCACGACTCAATTGTGTTTATGATATCATATTTTACTAACCTACGATCCAGATACTATCCGATGGCTCCCGTCAATAAAAACTTTGACAACATCAATATATTATTAAAAGTTCGAAAATTTTCTACTTCTCATATATATTATAAAAAATTTCCACAATACCTTTTTAATAATTTAATGTTTAAAGCTTTCCCTGTGGGTACTTAATCAAAAAAAAGTCATAAACATTATTTCCTTTAACTCGAGAATCTAAAATATCCAGCTATTAGGTTAAGAAGAACTTTTTTGATTTTCTTGGTGTTTTGTTAACTGAGTGTAGAGTTTGGCTTGAAAGTTCTTACAACTACAATGGAATCGGTCTAACCAACAGACAAACTCTATGTGGAACGTACATTCATTTAGCACTGGAGAGTGAAAATTGTAGATTCTTTCATTAATATATT